AAAAATCCCCATAAACAATACATTTCTAATCAACACAAGGGTCAAGGAAGAAATTTCAAAACAACTTTTAAAATATTTAAACTAAATGAAAATACAACTTATCAAAATTTGTAGAATGTAGTGAAAGCAATTCTTAAGGGAGATCTATAGCCTTGAATGTATATATTAGAAAAGAAAAAGATCTAAGAGCAATATTCTCAGCTTCCAACTTAGGAAACCAGAAAAAGAAAAGAATATTGCATCCAAAGTAAGCAGAAGAAAAGAGGTAGTAAAAATGAAAGCAAAAATCAATGAAATTGAAAACAAGAAATCAATACAGAAAACTAACAAAATCAAAAGATTGACTCCTTGAAAAGATAAAAAAAAAAAAAAAAAAAGATAAGCCCCTAGCCAAACAAACAAAAGACAGAGAAAGAAGACAAAAATCACTAATATCAGTAATAAAAAGGGGCACTTGAGTGGCTCAGTCAGTTGGCTGTGTGACTTCAGCTCAGGTCATGATCTCACGGTTGGTGGCTTGGTGGGTTCCAGCCCCGTGTCAGGCTCTGTGCTGGCAGCTCAGAGCCTGGAGCCTGCTTCAGATTCTCTGTCTCCCTCTCTCTCTGCTCCTCCCTCACTCACACTCTGTCTCTCTCTGTCTCTTAAAAATAAATAAATGTTAAAAAAAATTTTTAAAAAAAGAAAAGAAGTAACATTACTACAGATCCAATGGACACTAAAGGAATAATAAAGGTCTATTATGAACAACTCTATGCCCACAAATTTGATAACCTACATGAAATGGACCAATTCCTTAAGACACAATCTGTCAAAACTTACATAAGAAGAAATAGAATAGGTATATATCTATTAAAGAATAATCACTAATGAATAATCTTCCAAAACAGAAAGCACCAGACCCAGATGGGTTCACTGGTGAATTCTACCAAACATTTAATGAAGAAATTATACCAACATTCTACTTTCTAACTCATTCTATGATGCCTGTGTTATCCTAACACTAAAACCAGACAAAAATTTGCAAAAAGAGAAAAGTGCAGACTCATATTTTTCATGAAGGTAGGTGCAAAATTCCTCAACAAAAATGTTAGCAAATCAAATCCAACAATATATAAAAATAATCTATACCATAACCAAGTGGAATTTATCCCAGGTAATGCAAGGCTGGTTCAATATTTGACAATCAATTAATGTAATCCATCACTTTCAACAGACTAATGTGATTATTATCAATAGATGTGGGGAAAGCATTTGACAAAACCCAATACCCACTCATAATAGAAACCCTCAGAAAACTAGGAATATAGAGGAATGTCTTCAACTTGATAAAGAAAAAAACATCTACAAACAAAATCTATACCTAATATCATACTTACTGGTAAGAAACTTGAAGCTTTCTCAATAATATCAAGAACAAGGCAAGTATGTCCCTTCTCATCACTACTTTTCAACATCATACTGGAAATTCTAGATAATGTACTCAGAGAGGAAAAGGAAGTAAAAAGTTATACAGATCAGGAAGGAAGAAATGACTCATTTTTTCCTCCAATGACCTGATTGTCTATGTAGGAAAATCTGAAAGAATCAACAAAAAATCTCCTGGAACTAAAGCAATTATAACAAAAGATTAAAGGTTGCCAGGGGTTGGAAGGGAGGAAAGCATGAATAGGCAGAATACGGAGGATTTTTAAGGCAGTGAAACTATTCAGTATAATACTATGATACTTCAATGGTGAATACATGTCATTATACACTTTTCAAAACCCATAGAATATACAGCACCAAGAATGAACCCTTGTATAAACTCTTGACTTTGAGTGCTGTTAATGTGTCAGTGTAGTTCATCAACTGTAACAAATATACCACTCTGGTGTCAGATATTGATAATAGGGGAGGTTGTTCATGTGTGGGGACAGTGGGTCTATAGGAACTCTGGACTTCCTGCTCAATTTTGCTGTAAACCTAAAACTGCTCTTAAAAAATCAAGGTTAGGGGTGCCTGGGTGACTTGGTTAAGCATCCGACTCTTGATTTTGGCTTGGGTCATGATCCCAGAGACTTGGGATAGAGCCCCGACTCGGGTCTGCACTAAGCAAGGAGCCTGCTTGGGATTCTCTCTTTCTACCCCTTTGCCCGTCTCCTTTATTCATTCTCTCACGCTCTCTTTAAAATAAATAATAAATAAGTAATTAAATAAATAAATGTATTAAATTTTAAAATTAGCTCATAGTGTGGAAAAAATGGAGTTGGAGCCCTATTCCATTAATATTAAAAAAATAAAGTCTAAATGCATTGAAGACCTAACTGTGAAAGGTAAAATTATAAAGCCAATGGAAAAAAGTACTGGAAAATATCTTTGTGTTTGTTCTCAATTAGGCAAGACCACAAAAGTGCATGCCGTAGGAGAGAAATTGGTGAATTTGACTAGATGAAAGTTGTATCTGTTAAATGAAAAATCCCAAAAGTAAATGAACATCTGGGTGGCAGAAATATATTTGTAAATGTTTGGGAGTTCATATCTAGAAAGTACTACAAATCAGCAAGAAAAAGACAGGAAATTCCACCAGCAAAAATTCTGAGTAGGCAATTCACAGAAAGTGAAACCTAATAAATTAAAGAGTTGCTCAAAGTTGCTAGTATTAGATGGAAACAAGATACCACTTTACATCCATCAGATTGGAAACCATTAGAAAGCCCAATAATCGGGGTGCCTGGGTGGCTTAGTCGGTTAAGCGTCCGACTTTCGCTTAGGTCATGATCTTGCGGTTCGTGGGTTCGAGCCCCGCGTCGGGCTCTGTGCTGACAGCCAGCTCAGATCCTGGAGCCTGTTTCAGAGTCTGTGACTCCCTCTCTCTCTGACCCTCCCCTGCTCACGCTGTCTCTCTTTCTCTCAAAAAAAAAAAGCCCAATATTCATAAGTACTGGTGAGGATATGGAGAAATGGGAACACTTGCGAATAGCTAATAGAATGAATGGTATAGCTATTCTGTACAACAAGCTGGAAGTATTTAGTGAAATTAATATGATTATATCCACAACCCAATCACTTTGCATTCCCATTCCATGGTTTATATTGCTGAGAAACTGCATGAAGTTCTTCGTTGCAGCATGTTTTTGGAGGTAAAGATCTGGAAGTCAGCTGACGGCACCTCACTGGGAAAATGGATAAGTAAAATGTGGTCCACGCATGCAGGGGAATACGAGGCAGCAGTCAGAAGCAATGAATTACATTCACATATAGTAATAGTGGCATACAGGCATTCCCACTTTTTGAAAGTTCGCATTCTACCACTCTGCTTTTACACAAGACCTACACTAGTGTGTTTTTTCGCCAACTGAGAGAAGTCCACGGTAGATTTTCACTTTTATGAAAAAAGGCAAAAAGTGAAAATAGCATGCAGCATTTGTTTGGCAGTGAGCTGTTTAGAGGCAGTGCACACCTGAGCAGCAAGAGTGGCCTGGCCAAGCTCCTTCCCTGGGAATGGCACTCAGCATCCCCACATCAAGCCCCATAGCTTCAGACTGTATCTGTGAGTATCTGTGTTTTCTCTTGATTTATTTTGTGCATCTGTTAGCAAGATGTGTCCTAAGGTATCAGAAAAGCCTTAGAGAGGTTATTTTTGGGGTCTGGGAGCAGTCAAAAAATTTTCCACATAAATTAATGGTAATTGCTTCTTCAGTTGATGCCATTTCAGCTTACGAATGGTTTCATAGGTATGCTATACTTTCAGACAGTAGGGGAAGCCTGTATCTTAAAAGCGTTAAGATTAAGTGGAAGAAACATTCAAATACAAAACAATTCTGTGTAATCTCAAGTAAGTCACACATATATAAAGACATATAATACATATAATGTTATATATTTTTATATTTATATATTGTATACTTTTATTTATACTTATATTTTATATACATATATAAATACACACAAAAGGATATAGATAAATAGGGGTAGGATAAAGAATGTAAAGATATATAATAGAAGATTGCCTTTGCTTTGTCCAGTGATAAAAATATATGATGAACTAAGGATCTTGAGTGACTTAATTTTTTTTTACCTTCTGTCCTAAAAGGAATATGAATTTTTAAAAGTTATATACGGTACAGATATTATCATCTTATTAAATTGTATTTGAAGAATAAATGAGTAATTCAGATAAAGCACTTAGCTGAGTGCCTAGCACATACGAAACACTCCATAAATGTTATCCATTATTGTTATTAGCACTACTCATGACAGAGCTCCTGCCAATCAATTGGAGTTGGCACTAAAGACCAATTGGATTTAGATGATTTCCCCCAAGAGATGCCTCCGAGCCTAACACTCTCTAATGGTACTAGAGGAATAGGCAAGTCCCAGTAGCAGACCCAGAAGCAAGCAGGAGGTACACCGAGTCTTGGGGAATGGAAATGGCCACCAGGTTTTTTTGCAGTGTCCGAGGAAATCTTGATGGTTAACTTGCAAGAACATCAATACAGTGCCCAAACTAGGAAAGTAGAGACTGCAAAGTAAATAGTGCCATGAAGCTGGGAGAGAGTTTAAGTACTTTGGTATTCTTCCTCCAAAGGGGTGTTTTCTTTTAGCATTTTGATTTCAAGTTATACAACTGTAGTTGAATTACCGATGTTAGCTATTTAGAGAGGGTTGCCTTTGGATTATTCCTTTCTCTTCTTCCTCCTCTGCCCTTCCCCCTCACCCCTCAAGTGGGACACAGCTTATCTTCGTGAAATAAGCAAGATCATCACCTAGTGGTCGGTTTCTCAAAGTGCTGATTCAAGATCTTGGTCCCAGAGAGCAGAGAACATGCCCTCATGTTAATTCAACGAGCATTGACTGGGACTCTATGCCAGGCGCTATTTTGGTGCCTGGGGATATAGAGCTGCTAACACAAAATGACAGGTTTAAAAATAAAATTAAGGAAGTGTCAACTCCGAAACTTAAGAACCTTCCCGAAGTGACATTGCATTTTAATGTATTTATTTTCCACGGGTTTTCCACAGATCATAGATGAAGAAGAAACACAGTTTATGAGTAACTGCCCCGTTGCGGTCACCGAAAGCACCCCACGGAGGAGGACAAGGATACAGGTGTTCTGGATCGCGCCACCGGCAGGAACCGGCTGTGTGATTCTAAAGTAAGTACATGAGGGATCTTTGTCACCCTTCACTCTCCTTCCCTGTGGTCTATCAAAGACCTCATGGTGTGGCTGCAGAAAGAAACATGGCTTTGCGGGGGCATCAAATGAGTTGCATCATCTCTCTGCCCTTAGTTATCTTAACTCTGAAATGGGGCCAAGGGCCATCACTGATGAAATGCTATAAATACAACCATTCACCTGAATCTCCATTTTTATCTAGTTCATTGATTCTCATGGCCACTCTCCATCTTCCAGAGACATTGATACTGGGGCTAGTTAAGGAAAATCACAAACCACATAAAGATAATCTTTGACTTCCTCCATCTGGACTTTAACATCTACTGTCCTTAAATTGTGGTAGGCTGACCTGAGACCCAACTATAACTTCCTTGGCCTCTGGCCCTGCTTTATGATCTTGTTTTCTTCCTCCTTCCATCAAAATTGTCCTCTTGTGCAACTTCCTATCTGGTCTCCGATCCTCCCTTTGGTGAGTTACAATGCATTATAAGAGGTATTAACTTAACCAGTTAATAATTTTCCTTTGAAAGGTAGAATTGTCTCAAACCTGTGTTTCCAAAACAGTATGCCATAGAATGATGTTCAGGGAGATGTAAATATGTGGGCAGGAAACCAATTTCTACACTTAAATAAGTTTGGAAAATGCTTTATATAGATTCACAACATATATTAGCATATTTAAACTTTTGCAAAGTCCTACTAAAATGATATCTGTTTGTTTCATTAGCATTTCCCAAACTTATTTGACTCCTTTTTTTTTTTTTTTTCTGAGACATATATTAACATTCACCGGTTGGGCAAATGCAGCCATAACCTATTTTAAACAGACTTGAAAAACTTTGTAAAGTGATCCTGGGAATTTTAGGATTTCAGACAGGCAAATTATCATAGGTAGATGGACAGGGCTCCAATCCAAGCATCCAAGAAGCCATTTTCCCATGGAGGTAAGGGGCTGGGACCTCCCCAGTCGTCTTCCTCTTATTTGAGTCCCCTGGGGTCTTATTTATGTATTTGGTTCATTTGTCACCTCTGGCAGGTGGACATTTCTAAAGTCTTACAGCTGTGGTTAATTCCAGCTCACCTCTGAGGAGGGGCTGGTAAGGAGATATTCCACTTAGGCAGTCCACACCCTGCGTCTTCTGGACTCAGCTGTGCCTGGCTTACAGAAAAAAAGCCTAGAGAGGTCTCTGGAAGCCTCTGTCCATTGCCCAGGCCCAGCCCTGTCTCTGTCTGGCCTCCCTTTGCTGCCATCTGCCTATATATCACTTGTTTCTTACTTTAATGCAAGCAGAATATTCTTACTCAGATTCCTGGATAAGTGTGTCTCTTGGCATTAATCTATATTGGTGATTTAAAAAAAAAATAATTAGCAGTAGAACTTTTGAAAAATAAAACCTTATATACAAACCCCAGTATATAACATGTATCTAATCTCTAGTTGGAATATGAGAGAAGGCCTATAGAAATAAAGGCCACTTAAATGAGAAGAAACCTTAGCTATTTATCCAGTATTCTCTATATAGAAAGTAAGTCCACTGCCATCACTAGGCCTTGGCAGGGACTCTGAGCGAGACTGGCGGAGGAGTGGAAAAGCCTATATGGGAAATAAAGGGCAGACTGCTGGTGTGTTCTGATTGGAGGGTAGGGTATTAACATGAGGAAGCTGGAAGCAGGCTAACTAGAAGTGGAGCATCTTACGTGATTGGTTTGGAAAGCATATTTGGCTTTCTCTTGTTGGTCCTGAGTTGGAAATAGAGGAGGCGGTGAGGGCAAAAATTAGAGGAGCTGGCGGTCATTGACAAGTCCCAAATGTCACGACAGGGGTTGTGGTCTGGCTTCCCAGGCCGGTTGCTACAAAGGTTGGGGTCAGAGTTCTATTGTCATGGTCGTATGTGACCTGGCTATTGTCCATAAGTACTTTCAGTGTCTCACTCTGGAGACGGGTTCACAGCGTGGCTTTCTGGTACCCACAGTCTTGCCCATGGCTGCCTGGTTACTCCGCAGAGACTGGGGCTCTGAAGAACATTGGAAAACATTAGATTTATGTGATGAGTCTTCCTGCTCTAAAAATCCTTATCCTTCTAGTCCTTTGGCTCCGATCTCTGGGTTTCTTTGACTTCTTGTTCTCACAAACCACAAGTGTTTTATCTTCCTGGCAGAAGCCAGGAAAGCATCTCTTGTTTACCCGTTAACAATGAACATATGTGAACATATGTTTATCCATTAACAGTGAACAAGCGTGGCTTGTTCAGTCACTCGTTCTTTCAACAAATGTAACTGAGCTTCTATTTGCACAGTCATCCAGGATAAATAGACAACCGAGGTATGCTCTTGGCCCTTGAAGTTCTCATGGGCCAAATGGAAGAGAGAGAAAAGGTCAATCAGTCCTTTCTATGTACCAGTAACTCAGCAGTGCAGCTAGCAGGTTTTATCAGTTATAATCTTCAGAACAGACTTCCCCCATTTTACAGAGGAAGTCCCAGGAAATTAGGGAAGTTTTTTGAATCACATGTCCATTGAATTCCAAAGCCCCATGTTCTTCCTTTCTCTCTCTCTCTCTTTTTTTTTTTTTTTTTTTTTTGAGAGGATATCTGGAGGAGCAAACCAAAGATATCCAGCACAGATGGGAAATCAAAATCTACCTATGTTTCCCAAAATGACTAATTAGATGTCCCACATCCATTTTTTGAATAGTTTGTCCTTTCCCCCAATTGTTTGAAATGCTACTTCATCAAATATAAAATCTTTACACGGGTCCGTTCTGTTCTGCTGATCTTTTTATCTGTTTCTGCACAAAACCCACACCATTTTATAGCATAATTTTATTTTATGTTTTGATAGCAAGTCATCGCTCATTAATCTTCTAGTTCAAAATGTTCATGGCCATTCAAGTAGATTCATAATACCAGATGAATCGTAGAATAAGTTTGTTTTAGTTCAATAAAACTTACATTGGGATTTTGAATGGTGTTGCATTGAATAATAGTTTAGTGTGAGAAATGTCAGCATCCCTTCAATATGTTTTCCAAGTCAGAAATATGGAATATCCCCTATTTATTCAGATCTTTTATGTCCTTCAGTAAAGTACACTGATATTTCTTCATTGAGATTGCATATTTTTGTGCGGCTTTTTCCTCATAGATAGTCTCGTTGCTTTTGTGAATGGGCTCTTTTTTCCTCTTATACTTCCTAATCGTTAATTAAATGTGTTTAGGAAAGCCGCTGATTCTTATCGTCCTAGTTTGAATCTGGACACTGTTGAACTCTCTTGATAGTTCTAATGGTTTGTTCTTTCCTTCTTTTGGGAAATAATGAATCAGTATACCTTGTATTTCCATTTTATGTTCTAGTTTATTATCTATCACCTCTATTAGACTACTAAATAGCGGTGTTCATGCTTATTCTTGATTTTAAAAGGGATACTATTATATTTTACTTCTAACTATAGCATGAAGTACAGGTTCCAAATTGATGCTTTAATCAAGTTGAGAAGGACTCTTTATCTCATTGAGAAAGTTTCCTTCTCTTTCACGTAGAAGGCAGCATTTGGGAAATGCCAACCAGAGTATACTGGCATTGAGAAAGACTCAGGTTATGAAAAATGATCCTGACTTCCAAGATATTTTCAGTCTAGCTGTGGTATAAAAAGCTGTGGTATGTATGCAAAGGTGAGCAAGCCCAAGACACACATGAACTGAGGACAATTAAATGTGGTTAGTCAGAAAGAAAATGAATGAGAAATGGAATAATGGAAGCACCAGAGTTTCCAGGAAGGGTTAGTTTATATTTTAAAGGCTGGAGTAGGATTTGGATAAATGCACAAGGTTATTCTAGATGGAGGGGTGGCCCTCGTGAAATTGAGGTGAGAATCTGGAGGTGAGAATAAACATGGCAGCCAAGGGGCAGACCCAGTGGGATTAGAAGGTCTTTAGGGGCCAACATCCATTGCTGAATCATGGAGGTCTTCCAATGTCAAGATAAAGAGATTGAATTTGATTCAAGAGGAGCAAGGGAACCATTAGTGGTTATTAAATGGTGGGCTGACAGGCTGGGAGGAAAGTTCATTAAAGAGTTAGTGAGGACACTTCAATCCAGCAGCAAAGCTTAGGGCAGATGAAAGGGGAGATGCTGACTGTTGGAGAATGCTTGCTTGCAAAAGGAATATTTGTGTTGCAGTGTTTGGTTAATATTCCTGGTAGAATAAGCTGCAGAGTCTGCTAAATGTCTGCAGATGACAGCTCTGAAGCCTGCTTGGTTACTTGTGTTCCTTTGCCCAGGAGGGCAGGAAGGGAAGCACATAGCAATTATGACTTTCCTTTTGGCACCAACCTGACACCATTTCCATTTTCCATTTGGATGCAAAGATGTGAACATTTCTAAATTACAGGCTTTCCAGGCAGACCTCCTTATAGACTTCTCTCTACAAACGAATGACCCAGCACTTAAAGTTGCCCTGGCACGCTACCATGCTGCCAGAATGCTGTAAACATTATAGCAAAGTAGCAACTGATTGAAAGAAAAGCACCCCCCCTCCCTTGAACAGAACAGATGTGTACAGCCCCCATGAGAGGGAAATCTTGTCTCCTTAAATCTGATGAAAATTTATCCCCTGAAGTGATCCATCCTTTTCATACATTTGTAACCTTCATTATGTACATTTATAACCGGATTTCTGACATCCATTCATAACTTTCTGGGAGGGTCTGAGATGGGGGGTCCTCTTGCTCCTGAGGAGAGGGTCACTTGATGAACCATATGGGGAATTCAGCCTTTTGGAAGAATGGTTGGATTCAGGTAGTACTCAATAGGCAAGAGCCAATCCCTGTTCTAGGTGCATCACAAATATGTATTTAATCCTCATAGTCACCCTATGTACTAGATACTACAGAGGACACTGAGGCACAGGAGAGGGTAAGTAACTTGCCCACAGTCACAAGCTATATGACAGAGCTGGGATTTAAACAGAAAATCTGGGCTCC